TGGTGGGTTTCTCAGTCATACGCTGCCCCAGGCAGGGATCTGTTTCTGTAGTTGGGTCCTGCTGCTCTAGGCCGGTGCCTTCCCCTGTAACCACAAGGCCCCTCTGGGCAGGCCAGCAGGCTCACAACACAGCCAGCTTTCTGTCTTCAGAAACACCAAGCCAGAGTGGGTCCTTTTGTACCTCTCGCCCTAATTTCATCCCCTGGAGGCAAACAAGCCTGCTCCCTTTTCTGGTCAGTTGGTGTTCTCTTTCCCAGATGGCATGTCCATTAGCTCCTCGAAGGCAGGGATGGTTTACTTTGGGGGTTTGTGTCCCTAACACCTGCCCCCAGGCCTGGCACAGTCAGCACTTGATAACTGCTTGTTCGTTGATTGAGTAACTTCCTGCTATTTTCAAGACACACACACGGGTCCTGCCCTTACAGAGGGGTGGGCATGAAATAATAGATGGGGCATAAGAGAGAAGTGATGACTTCATGCTTTCTGAGCAGAGGCTGAGTGGCCCCTTGTCTGGTGTGTCATGATCAGGGCTCTATTTTCGGGTCTGAAAAAGACTAGATGGTCACTCCTGGCCCTGCAATTACAAATTCTGTGAAATCCTCGAAAAACCTCCAGGCGAATTTGAGGAAGAAGCTATCAGTCAGTCAGTCAGTAAACATTTAGTAAACACCTCCTGTGTGCTGGCCACTGTGCTAAAGCTCTGGGAATACAAAGGAAGGTCCAAGAGTGCCTGCCTTCTGGGAGCTCACAATCTAACGGAAGAAACAGCACGCAGACAGCTGCATATACAGGATAAATAGGAAATAATCACCAGAGGGAAGGGACCAGCATGAAGAAAGGCTTCCTAAAGAGGGGGGATTTTAGCTAGGACGTGAAAGAAGCCAGGAAGGACCTGAACGGGACCTAGAGAAAGAAGGATTTCAGCAAATGAAGATGAGGAGGGGTGCAGCCAAGGCATGGGTGACAGTCTGCAGACACACCGCATTTGTGAATCTGGGTGCCCCTAACAGAAACAGGGAGATCAGAAAGTGGGGTGGGTTGGAGGAGAAAATAATGAGCTCTGTTTTAGACATTTTAAATTTGAGATACCAACGGGCCACCCAGTTTGAAATGCCCAAGAGGTAGTGATGTCAGGAGAGAGGTTAGGCGTAGACGTGTGGAACTGGGAATCATCTGTATAGAGATGGTCACTGAGCCCATGGAAACTGATGAGGTCACCAAGTGAGAGGATGGGCCAAGACAGATCCCTGGAGGACACCCACACACTGTGGACAGGCCTGACCTGGGTAAAGATTGAGGGAGGGAGGCTGAGAAGGAGCATTGCTACAGGGAGGGAAAGAACCAAGGGAGAGACCAGAGATAGAGAGGAACCAGGAGAAGGCTATGGAGGGCGTCAGATGATGCGGAAGGGTCAGGGAGGATGTGGGCCGAGAAAAGGTCTGGTGATTAAGAGATTTCACTGGGTGAAATCTGAGGGTTTAGAAGAGACTGAAGGGAGAGGAAGTAGAAGTGAGAAGTAGGGTCAGCTTTTTGAAGAAATGTAGCCAAGAATGCAAAGAGATGCAGATGGACGATGGTAAGGGTGGGGAGCAGTAGGGGTAGGATGCAGAGAGGATTTTTCCAAGGAAGGGAGAGACTTGGGTATGTTTGTAGGCAGCATGGAACTAACCATGATGTAAGAAGAGACTGAAGATTAGAGAGAAATTGAGGGTCACAGTGGAGGTAGTCTGCTAGAGCAGAGAGAAGGGGGTGGGGTGGGGATAGGGGTGAGGCCAAGTTTTGGCCTTGGTGAGGAGAAGGGGCATGATGTCTGGTGACACGAGGTGGGGAGCAGAGGGACCCCCCCCCTCCCCAGTGAGTGGCCTTGATTGGCTTGCTCAAGGATGAAGCAAGGTGGTGACAGGGCTGGAAGAGAGGAAAGAAGGTAAGACTTGACTTTTGACCCACCAGAATTTCCCGATGATTACCAAGTCCATAGTCCTAAAGCTCAGACCTGACCTTGTCATTCCCTGCTCAAGAAGCTTTGGGGACCTCTTCCCCCACTCCCTTTGTCAACTTCTCTTTACAAGTTAATAATCCGTGACTCTGCCCCATGCATGGCACAGGCTGCTCTGACTCTCCTGGGTGTCAATGACCCCTTCCCCTCATCATTGGGTTTGTTTTGTGCATGTTCTATATTTTGTTTATGTATTTGGCACACGTTGGAACCCTCAGAAGAAATGGGGAGTTAAACCTAGAGAAAGGAAGGGAGAGGTGGGAATGGGAAGCAGGGGGAAGAAAAGAAGCCTTTATTAAGTGCCTACTGTGTGCCAGGCACTGCGCTAAGTAAGCATTTCACAAATTATCTCATTTGATTCTTGTAACAACACTGAGGTAAGTGCTCTTATCCCCATTTTGCAGTTGAAGAAACTGAGGTAGATGGCGGTACACCTGTCCTCAAAGAGGTCACAGATAGAAAGGCAACCACTGAGAGGTCTCCGGCCCACCCCTCACTTGGCTGAGGAGGAAACAGAGGCCCAGCCAAGTGAAGGGACTTGCCCAGGAGCCCGTGGGAAGTGGAGGTGAGACTCAAACGCAGGCTGCCCGGCCAATACTTTCCTCTTCCTGCTGTCCTGTAAGGCCTGGCTCTAGAGAAAGCCAGTGGACTGAAGAGGAGTGAGGAGAGGCCTTTTTTTGTATGAGGGAGTCCAGAAGGTTTTCCAGGCAGAACAGGCATTGCGTGCCTTGGCCGCCACAGACACAGGGAACTCACTTCTCCACTCTGACCCCTCCAGTTCAGCCTTGACCTTGCTGCTGCCCAGTCTTTGTGCTTAATTCTGAAGTGCTCAGGCATGCATATTCAAGCGTGCGTGCACGGAGTCTGCTCCTCTGGCCTCCTGGGCTGGGCTCAAACTCATCCCCACCATAGCCTCTCATATAGAAACTTCCTTCTGCCTCCACTTTCCATACACTCTCCCTGCATTTGTCCCCATCTGAAGCACACTCTGGCTGTTTCCAGGTGTCCCAGAGGTGAGAGCTTAGAGAATCTGTATGTTCTCACTGCCCGGCCCAGTAAGCACTTAGTGTTTACTTAATTGAGTTGTAGCATCTCTTAGTGAGGAAAAATATCAGATTTGGAGTCAGAGGCCCTGGGTGGGAAATCTAGCTGCCACTTCGTGTCTCTGTGACCTTGGACCAGAACCCTTCCCTCTCTGGGATTCAGTTTCCTCATCTTTGAGATAGGGGGGTTAGATTAGTGATGTCCACATTTCCTTCTCTCTCAGAGTCTATGAAACCCTGAATATCACAAGTCAAGCCTCTGTCCCCTGAAGCAAATGGAGAACACGTTGATTGCTGGGAAAAGGAATTGACTAAATGGGAAGAGAAAAACAGAGGAGAGGGGCGCCCCTTGTCACCACCACGTCACACTCCCTGGCTCGTATGAGACTCAGCCCTCGGCCAGTTGGCGTGGGGCTCCTACCCAGCATCTCCAGAGCATCTGCGATTTAGAGGGGAGGCTGCTCACTGCCTGGCCCCCTTGACTTAGGCAGTTGGAGATAGAAGACTGTCATAGATTTCTGCAGTTATTTCTCCTTAGGTTTAAAATGAGTATTAGGATCAAAAGCAAACACTTCTGAGGAGGGCCAGGGTCGAAAAAAAGAATAGAATAAATGGGGAGTAGGATAGGATGAAAGGAAATATACTTAGTTTTTCACAACAGGACTACTATGGAAGTGTTTTGCATGACTGCACATCTATAACCTGTATCGAGATGCTTGCCTTTTCAGTGAGGGGGGGTGGGTAGGGAGGAAGGGAGGAAATTTGTAACCCAAAGTTTTAAAAACATATGTTAAAAATAAAAAAATTTTAAAAAGAAAAATAAATAAATAAAATGAGTATTGGGGGTTCTGAGCAGAGGGGACTTTTCTGAAGTGAATTCCCCTTCAGGCATCTGGCTTACTCCTACCCCATCATGCCCTGGCTTCCCCTTCCCTCTATGGTCAGGAGAATAAGGCCTCTTTTGTGGTCTTAAGGAATTTCTCAGAACATTTTAAAAGTGTGTTTCCTGGGGATCCATTTCTCTTATACCGTGACTGCCTCTGCCTGCCTCCCCTGGTAGGTGGGCCAGGTTCCCTGTGCGTGCCTGGGTGTCTTTCCCTGTGGAGCAGCGGCATTCTAGGTGACAGTTTTGGTTGTCTGGTGTGTCAGATAACAGAGGCGGGTGGAGTTTTCCCCATGATGCCATTTCCAGCTCTGCCACAGAAACATCACTCCGAGCCCTGCTGAAGCCTGCCTTCTGCTGTCAGAATGCCTAGGGTAGCCCCACAGGGAACATGTGCTTGTCAGTTGGGAGGGAATATCAAAGCTTGCAGAAAGTCCCTACTGATGGGCCATCAGTGGGCTGCCTCTACCCAGCTTGCCACCCAGGGCCTGGGCAGAGCCGGCATCCAGGGTGAGGGCAGCCCCAGCCCTGGCCAGACTTCCCTGTCACCTTCCAGGCGAAGGCTGGCTTGAGAGAGAGCAGCTGGTGCTGTTGGCTTCTGCATCTGAACAGCAGATGGCAGATCCCCCTTTGGCCTGGAAGAAGCAGCTGGGGGAGCTGTCAGCCGGGCCAGCCCAGGCCCTGCAGGAGAATGAGCTGCCTGCCGGGTACCCTAGCAACGTGGGCCTGGGCAGGACTCCGTGCCAGCCGACTCCTGTCTCCACGGGTGGCATCCTCGCCATGAAGAGCCTTGGCACAAGGCGCACATTGTTGGAGTGACTGAGCAAGCGTGACACCATTCCCTTCCATAGTGCAGATGCTCCCGAATCAAACTTGTGATTTTAAGTGCCAGCATTTCAGAATTGTGAAGCGAACTGGGCAGGTTGTATAATCAGAGGCCTGGGCCTCCTGGCCAACCAGAGCCTGCTTCTTTTCATGGGTTAAAATGGGGGTGGGGGGTGGGCAGTAGGGCCCACCCTCATGTGAGATAGGGTGAATGCCCGGGGGTGCTTCATGCCTGACTCTTGTTTCTTCCTAGGTCAATCACGTCCATCCGGAGTGAGCTGATTCCATACTTAGTTAGGAAACAGTTCTCCTCGCCTTCATCACTGCAGGGATGCACTGAAAAAGAGCAGACCCCAGAGAAGAAGGACCAGAAGTCCATAGGTCAGTGCAGAAGCTGAGAAGCAGTGGCCCCTCTGTGGGCAGCAGAGCTGAGGATAGATCTGCTGCTGAGCCCCTAGCTGAGAGGGCCCCAGAATTTGCTGCCCTGGATTTTAAGTGGATTCTCCTAGTTCTGGGGTTCTCCCATAGGGTTTGGACCATTGCCTCTGTTCTTTCCGGCTGGGTTGGTCGTGGAGGGGGCCTAGCTGGAGCTAGGGACTCAGGTGTGTAGCCAGAGCCCCGGGGACAAGACCTAGAGAGAATCCCACCTTGGGACTGCTGTGCCCATCTTCCTTGCTGCCAATTCTTATAGTCTAGCCTTTGGTCTCGGGGATCTGGAGCCTTCCTAAGTCTAATAGGGGAGGGAAAATCCTTGTCAGGACTGAAGGAGCCTGCAGTCTGCTGGGAGGCAACTGCATGGGCCTACCAAATGGGGTCCTGTTGGTGGCCAAGCTGCCTGCTAAATTTTCCTTCCTTGGGACTTGCTTTATTTTTCTAAATGAATCCTCACCCATGTGGGAGTTGATTTCATAGCCTCCCTTCCTTATAAATGTGGAAGGTGAAGCTTTACTTTTAGGCAGGGTGGTGTGTCAGGGGATATGGGTTCAAGTCCTGCCTCAGACACCTTCTGTCTGGGTGGTCACGGACAGGTGACTTGGGCTGACCACCTCACAGGGACGTTGGAAGGCTTCTTCTCCCTGTTTCCCTCTAGGAGGGAGGCTGTGGGCAGTCTGGCTGCTTGGAAGGATGAGGGGAGTTCTCGGTGAGCACCTTCTCCGCATTCCCAGCTGATGCCTTCCCTGCCTCTGCCTCCTGCAGATATTCACAGCTTCCTAAAGGACAACGACCTGCTGGCCGTGGAGCCCCATAATGCCTATTGGAAGGACTGTGGAGTTCCTCGAGGCCGAGTCAGCTGCTACGTCCATGTCATGAAAGGGGGGTTCTGCTCTCGAGTGAACACCCTGGGGCTCTACATCGAAGCCAACAAGCAGGTAAGAGGAGTCACTGGCCCTCCTGAGGAGGGAGACGTGTTTGCCTCACTTCCTCTCTGCTGCTTTCCGAAATCCCAGGCAGGCGTGTCAGGGCAGGAGGGAGACCACCGGGGCGGCTGGGGCGAGGCGGAGGGAGCTGCCCGAGCCCCGCGCTCCCCGACGGCCCCGTGGAGGGGCTTCTTCAGCCTGGCGTGGCCAGGGGCGGGCAGGGTTCACTCAGCGTCTGAAGATGCGCTGACGGGGCAAAACAAGCTGCCTTCGGGAGCACTGAGGGGCGCTCCATGAGCCCCGTTTTCCTGCCTTTCTCTCCAGTCAGTAACTTAGCCTCTGGATCCCAGAGCTGCATACGCGCGCGCACACCCACTGAGCTACCTGTGCAGTCACACGGGGCCTTGGCACATCTCTGTTCTGATCAGAAATCTTGAGGGCTCTCCGTTGTCCACCAGAGACAGTTTACCCCCTTTGCCTGGCATTCGGGATCCTCCTCCACTGGCAGCCATCCTCTCAGCCATCCCCTTCCTCGTACTGCATGTACAACTAGTCAGGCAACCGACATGCATCCAGCGGGCCAGCAGCATTTATGATGCCCTCACTCTGTGCCAGGCCGTGTACCAAGCCCTGGGGACACAAGAATAAGCAAAAAGGAAGATTGTCCCTGCCTTCGAGGAGCTCACAGTTTAAGGGGGGAGGGGGAATAGTACATAAAGGGAGCAGAAGAGGGAATGGGAGAGGTGGGCGGGGTCAGGAAGCCGAAAGTCCTCACACTGGCAGCACGCGGCAGCAAAGCCCGGATGGCCCTGTCCCCAGCGTGGAGGCCCCACAAAAGAACTTATCAATGGGAGAAGGGGGGCTGGCTGGCTTCCTGAGCTTACTGAATGTGCCAGGCCCTGTGCTAAGCACTGGGTGTACAAAGAAAGGCAAAAAAAGAAAAACAGCTCCCGCCCTCAGGGAGCTTACATTCTAATAGGGGAAACAGCTATGTACAAGATAGACAGGAGGCAGGTGGAAGTCATCTCAGAGAGAAGGCCCCAGCAGGGAGTAGATGGCTGAAGGGAGCGGGGACTGGGACTTGAATGAAGCCAGGGGAGCAGGCAGCAGAGATGAAGAGGGAGGGCATGCGAGGCAGGGGGCACGCCAGAGAAAAGGCCCAGAGTGCGGAGAGCAGCTGGAAGGCCAGTGTTACCAGACTGTAGGAGTCTGTGGAGGATAGTGAAGTATAAGGAGACAGGAACGGTAAGAGAGAGTTTGTGTTTGGGCCTGGAGGTCATAGGGAACCACTGCAGTCTGTTGGGTGAAAGCAGGGGTGACATAGTTGGACCCATGCTTTAGGAAGATCATTTTGACAGCCGAGTGGGAGGGAGGGCAGCGGCGGCCCTCCAACAGCTGCTGCAGGGATCCAGGCCTGAGGGGATGAGGGCCGGCACAGAGGAGAGAAGGGATGTGGGCAAGATGTCTTCCCCAGCGTCTGCCTCGCTCTCGTGGCCACGGTATTATCTTTGCTGGTTGGATTTCTAACCATCCTTTAAAACCCAGACTGAATGCCCCCTCCCTGAGGAGACCTTCCTTCCCATGCAGGCCTCCTGCAGAGGCCTGGGTCTGGAGCTGCTCTGAGCTACTTGTCCTAGAGGATCAGGGTCGTTTTCCATGGCACTGCCTTACGTGCTTCCTGGGCTCGAGCCCCATCAGGGCACAGGAGGCCCGCCCTGTCCGTGACTTGAGGTCTGTGTGGAAGGGGGGGGGGCTGACCTGTGGACTCCCAAGGAGGCGGGGGTGTCAGCACCAGAAACACCTTAGAAGCTTCATAGCGCTCCTTCTGCAGAGGAGGAGCAGGGACCTTTGCCTAGGGGCACACAGCTAGTCATGTTCTCCTGAGGGCTGAGAACCAGGAGGGCCTCCTTTGCCGGGGGGCATCTCCCTTCTCCTCCTGGGAACCCCCTGGTGACAGGGCACGTCTGTGCAGGCAATCCCAGCTCCCCCCTGTGTCTTAGAGACTTGGCTCCTGGCTCAGCGACAGGAGGACTTTGGCATGAGGGTGAGGATGTCGGTCAACAAGCATTTCTTAAGCACCTGCTGCGTGCCAGGTGCTGTGCTAAGCACTGGGTGTACAAAGAAAGGGGCAGACATGGTCCCTGCCCTCCAGGGGCTCACAGCCTTCTCAGCAGAGACAGCGTGGAAGTAATGAGCTCTCCACAAGCTCTAGATTGAGCAGCTGGAAGAGGAGCTGATGGCCTGGGGTCCATACCCAGTTCCAGGCCTTTGGGTCAGTCAGCACCAAACCTCTTGAGGGCCTGTTGGTAAAGAGTTGGGCCAGATGACCGACCTCCGAGGGCCCTTCATCTCCCTTGAAATCCTGTAGTCTGATGAGCCGACACAGAAGCAGATGAGAGATGTGGAAGGAAAAGCGTAGGGGGCTTTCAGCACAGCGCTGCTCTCCTGCCTGAGTCACAGAGCTCTCCTTTTCTTTCTTCAGATCCCCAAATTGCTACCTGTTCTCTGCCCTGAGGAAGCCTTGCTTCACCCGTCTGCACAGATCTTTGACCAGGCCCTGGTGAGTGACCCTCGCCCCACCCCAGAGCAAGGGGCTGTCCCTGGTATGGAAGGTCTCAAACCTGGTACACAGAGAAGCACAGGGAAGTCCCCGGCACCCAGCTGGGTCAGGTGTAATTAAGCTGTTATGGAAATCAGCCATCACCTACCATCCCTGGCCCTGAAGCTCAGTGGGCAGTGTGGCCTGCCTAGGGAGGCTGAGGGAGGCTGGGGGAAGCCGGGCCCAACCCTGGACCTGTCCCTTCTTTCTCTGTCCTGGCTGGGGGACCAGTGGCCAGCAGACATGGAGAGTACAGTAGCTACTGCCTGCTGAGGTTTCCTGCTTAGCTCTTGTTTTTTGTTTTTTTGGCTAGACAATGGGGCTAAGTGACTTGCCCAGGGTCACACAGCTAGTAAGTGTCAAGTGTTTGGTCTGAGGCCGGATTTGAACTCAGGTCCTCCTGAATTCAGGGCCGGTGCTCTATCCACTGTGCCACCTAGCTGCCCCCCTGCTTAGCTCTTGCCAATCACACAAGTATGGTCCTAGGGAGTGGGAGGTCCTGGCAGATCCAAACCCTGACACCCCCCCACACCCCACCCCCTCCCGAAAGGGTGCACCCGGTCCTAGCTTGGAGATGTGGATTGGGGAGATGAAAAGGGGGGAGTCGGGGGCGTGTGCTCTGGAAGCTCTGGGCCAGGGACTTCACCGGCTCATCCTCTGTGCTTCTGCAGGTCGGACCTGACAGCATCATTGGACCATCTGTGCAGGTGGGTGAGAAGACCTCCATTAAATACTCCATCATTGGGTCCAGCTGCCTCATAAGAGACAGAGTGAAAATCACCAACTCTCTGCTCATGAACTCTGTCACTATTGAGGAAGGGTAGGTCCTGTCCCTACCCCAGCACAATCTCACTCAGGGCTCTGCCCTGGGCTGCTCTTATCCTCAGGCCCTGGAAGCAGCAAACAGAACTCCGTGCCCCACCTTTCCCTGGTTTTCTTGGTCTGGAGCCCTTCTTGGAGTGATGTACAGTGTGGGGGCCAGTAGCACCAGCATGGGCCAGGGCAGGCCCAGTGGACTACAGTGAACCATGGGAGCACCATGGCAGACCTGCCCCCTCAGGAGCTGCCAGGCGTGTAGCTGATCCCTATGAAATGGGCTGGCTTTCAAAAGAGGACCTGAGGTGGTTGAAGGGGGAGACTGGGATAGAGCCTTCTCAGGCATGAAAGGGGCCATTGGCTTCATAACAGGGTTTTACGAGGGGAAGTGTGGTTTAGTGTAAGGGGGTGGGGCTGAACTTTGGAGGCCTGTGACTCCTGAAAGGATTGTCTTCATTTCTTGGCATCCTCTTTGGTGTAAAGCTGACAAACGGAACACAAACTGGGGAATGACCAAGATGAGCAGGGGCTTGGAGGGAAGGTGACCATTGGCCTTGAGGCTTTGAAAGCCTGTTGGGGAAGGTGCTAACTCTGCTTGGCCCCGGGGAGCAGAGCCAGAAGGGACTGGGGAGGTTTGGGGCTCAGGGTCAGGAAGCGTTCCCCAGCGCCTGGAGCTGGCACTGAGGGTAACGGATTGAGTGAGGCGCTCCCCCTGCCAGATGGGCATTTTAGGCACACGCGGAAGGCCTCTGGTAGCACCCTTGGTCTCCCTGTCCATCTCCCCAAGGTGGCAGCTGGCTCTAGTTGGTTCCACTGCCTGTGAGGAAGCCCATTGTAAATGTTTATTTGGATCTCTATCTAGAGGCAGCTAAGAGGCACCATGGAAAGAGCTCTGGGCCTGGAGGCTGGAAGACCTGAGTTCAAATCCTGCCTGAGATAGTTACTTAGCTGTGTGACCCAAGGCAAGTCACTTCACGTCCGACTGCCTTAGATTCCTCATCTGTAAAATGGGGACAATAATAGCACCGGCCTTGCAGGATTGCTGTGAGGGTCAGACTTGTGGTGATATTTGGTTTTTTTTTGGTTTTGTTTTTTTTTACTTTATTAATTTATTTTGATTTATCAACAGTCACTTCCATATGCTTTTGAGTTGAGAATTTTTCTCCCCCTTCCTCCCCCCCACCCTCCCCAAGACGGCGCACAATCTGACATAGACTTTACGTTTACATACCCATTAAACATATTTTCACATTAGTGAAGTTGTAAGTAAAAATTAAAACCAATAGGAGGAACCATCAGAAAGATGAAACAAAACTCAACAGAAGGTACAAATAAGTGATAGCGATTCGACTTCCATAGTTCTTTCTTTGGACGTGGACAGCATTTTCCATCCTGAGGCCTCTGGAGATGTCTTAGATCCTTGTAATGCTGAGAAGGATTCAGTTTAACAATGTTAATCATGTCATAACATGGCTGTTATTGTGTACAAAGTCCCCTTGGTTCTGCTCACTTCACTCAGCATCAGACCATACAAGTCTTTCCAGGTTCTTCTGAAGTCAGCCTGTTCATCATTTCTTATAGCCCAATAGTATTCCATTACATTCATATACCACAACTTGCTCAGCCATTCCCCAATTGATGGGCATCCTCTCAATTTCCAATTCTTTGCTATTGTGGTGATATTTGTAAGGCACTCTATAAATGCTGGTTGCAGTCATCCTCTGTTTTCTCCCAGGGGTGATGCACGGGCGTGAACCGTGGAGCAGTACCCTCTGAAAGCATTAACATTGGAGGTGGCTTGAGAGCTTGTTGGGGCAGTGTGTAATCGGCGGGAGGGGACAGATTGCACGTGGAGAGCCCAGATGTGCACTGGCCCAGTGGAGACCCGCCGGGGCCCTACAGGATGCTGGTCGTGATGCAGGCCCAGCTCCCGACATGGGAACAAGATGGAATGCTCAGGAATCCTGAAGCAGGAGGCTGCCTTAGCCACAGCAGCGCATCTCGATGATGTTCTGGCTCGGCCTCCTGCCGTTAGTCAGGCTGTCAGTCCCAGATCAGAAGCCCCTCGTGGCCTGCTGTCCTCAGGTGGACAGGAAGCCATGGTAGCCACCTCAGCCAGTGAAGTCTCAAGGAGAGTTTCAGTTCCTCTTAGAGAAAAAAACCAGCCTAACTTGCCTGGAGCTAGGCCTTAGGAAAAGCTACAGCCTCGGTGGGAGGGAGGGCATGGGGATGGGGGCAATTGTGTGCACACACTGCGGTCTGTCCCCCTGGAGACAGATGCCTCCATCCATGCCATCAGAGAGCCACAGGAGTGTAGGATGAGGTCATCCTGCTGTCCTGGCCTCCGCGGGAAGATTGTGTTCTGTTCTGGGCAGCCCGTGCAAGGTGGAGGGCATCTGGAGATCAGTGTGTGCCAGCAGAGGCTCACTTGAAGGAACTGGGATCTTTAGCCTGGAGAAGGAAAGACTGGGGGGGCGGTGGTAGCTGCCTCCAGCTGTTTGAAGGGCTGCCATGGAGGACTGGCATTAGAGCAGGGCTGGTGGGTTGGAGCTGCAGACAGGCAGATTGCAGCTCCAGATAAAGAACATTTATGAACCGTTGGAGCTGTCATAAAGTATAATTAGTTAGTTGCCTTGGGAGGTAGTGAGTTCCCCATCACTGGAGGTCTTTGAGCAGAGGTTGGATGAGCCCTTGGGATGCCTTAAAGACCATTTTTGCTCCCTCCTCATTTCAGCCTCTTATTAGGCTCAGCTCTGGGGCCGCCTCCCGCTAGAGACCTCTCCATTCCCCCAGTTATCTTTCTGCCCCCCCAAATAAAATTGCTCTGTATTTGCTTATTTATGTAAAGGTCTCCTCCCCAGTGGAAAGCCAGCTCCTACCTGTGGCAGAGGGACTAGAGGAGCAGAAGGGGACATAGATTTTTGGACGTGGCCGATGGGTGGGATTTCTTGGCTTGATTATTCTTCCTGGTTACCTGGGAGAGTTTGGTCTGGGTTTGTTTGTTTGTTTGTTTTCTGTTAGGGGAGTAAAGGAGATCTAGTGTTGATATAGAAAAGCTGGGATGGCAACAAAAGGGAGTTCAGCAGGAATTGCCTGTAAGGGGGACGGCTTTGACACTGATGCCCCCTAAATGTATTTTATACTTAAAAACAGAATAAGTAGGAGAGCCACTTGCTTTCCCATCCAGTACTCCTCAAACATCCGCTGCAAGGGGGCATCCAGCTTTGGCTTGAAGACCTCTCGTGAGGAGGAACCTCCCGCCACAGCAGCCTGTTCTACTTCGACATGGCCTTGCTGATTAAGAAGTTTTTACGTGCACATCAAGCCTAAATCTACCTCTGAAATGTGTACCCAGTGTCTTTTGGGGTCAAGCTGCATAAATCTACTGCCTCTTCCACAGGACAGCCCTTCAGACAGTCCCTTCCAGGTTTTCTCAACATGACAGCAAGCATTTTTAAAGCACCTCCTATGTTCCAGACACTAAGAAAGACAAGAACCCTGTGGCTGCCCTCGAGGAGCTCAGAGCACACCTGGTAGAGACAACCTGTAAATAACTATGTATGAACAAGCGGTGGCCAGGAAGGGCTCTGGGCCTCCTCATGGGCCTCTCCCATCCTGCTTGCCTTCTTGGATCCTCCAGCTTTGCAGTGTCTTTCCTAAATGATGCCCCCAGAACCCAACACTATCTTCGAGGTGTAGCTTGAACAGACGAGAAGACAGCGGTCTTGCCGTTGCTGTGGCCCTGAGCCTGGCGCCTTGTTGTGCAGCTTACGGGCCCATTGGCTGCCACCTCACACTGGTGGCTCCCTATCCATCCGGGCCATCCCCATCTTGCACTTAGAAAACTGAACTCCCGTGTACAGAGCTTCCCACTTATTTCTATTGAGGGTCATCTCACTCCATTTGCCCCAGTATTCTAACCCCGGGAGATCTTTTGGGTTGCATACTGACTTTGTCATCTAGCGTGGTAGCCTGCCCCTGTGACTTGGTGCCCAGTCATCGATAAAAATGATGAACAGCACAGGGCCAGACTCATGCTTCTGAGTATGTATGACAAATCTTTGGAGCTGAGCATCCAGCCAGCTCTGAGAGCTGCTGACATGCAACAGCTGGAATGTGACCAAGGCACAACATGATGTCAGACCTTGACTGGACAGGTCATTGTTACCCCTGGCTCTCAGTGGCCTCATTTGTGCCCTGAAGGGCTGTCACGAGATGCCTCTGTGTAGTGTTCCATAGCTGGGCAGCCTCTAGACAGCTCTTGACCCCACTGGCTGACAAGTGGCCGAGGTCAGCCTGGACCTTCCATGAACAGCAATGAAAAGTAAACCGTTCAGCAGCCAGGCCATTTCTCTAGTCCTTCTCCACGTTTTTGTCACAGTGAGTCTTCTCCACTCCATATGTAGAATGTGTGTCTTTGACTCTTCCTTCTGCATTGTGTTTAGTGTAACTTTCCGCACCCAAGCCCCAAGCTTTGTGAGGGACTGACGGGGGGTCCTGCCTGCTCTCATCTCAGGCACTGCCCCACTGCTGGCTTTGGGCCTGAAAGGCTACCCACAGCCCATGTAGCTAATGACTGGGATACCCATTAGAAATTACCCATTTGGGTGAGGTGATAAGATCAGGCATCCAGCACCCAGTAGACTTTGCTCAATTATTGGGTGTCATTTGAATTTTAATTACTCATGATAATTCTTATGTGGCTCAAGTAATTTTGGAAAAAGTAATTAAAATGTGGTCATCTGAGGACTAATCACCCCTCAGCTATTAAATCTGGGCTAAGCATTAGAGGGAGAGGGTCTGGATTTGCCGAAAAGTGTGGTTCCCATGGCCTGCGCTTTCTTGTCTCAGTTCCAAGCTATCTGACTCTAAAATGGGAAAGCTTATTGAGTTTCGAGACCAAAAACTGGAGAAAGAAATTAGTAATGAATTCCCCCAGAAGATGTGCAAGAATCCAGACTGGGCCCCATGGACCTTCTTTACAGCATTGCAGAAGTCTTTGGA